TCTGTCTGGCGGACAAATAATTGAAATTTTGTCATCTAGCCTAGTTGTCGTCAGGAAGTTGGTCTAACTAATTCAGCTTGCAACTAATTCAGCTTGCAAGATTCCACCCGAACAAACATTTATGTAATTACCTACATACATCATAAATTGCAAGCTAAATAAAAGCTTGTAATAAAGTCGGGTTTGTTCAAATTTCGAGAACGACTGAACCGACAAAAGCATTAGAAAATTTACGAAAAATAAAATAAAATTTTATCCCGTACAAAATGTTCATGGATTTTGTTATTTTTATTAAATACCTTTACGCCTGAGTTAAATGACACCGACATCAAGGTTCATCAATTTAAGTTTAAAATAATAGGCAGTAATGTATGAAGAAAGAGTTTCTATTCTGTATCTACCTATGCCCGTGTATTTTTGATCGGTGTCAAATCGGAGTTTTTGGTGCGGGGTACGCGGGTGTTGCTCGCGGCGTGAAGGTCAAACGCCCAAGGTCATTGAGGACTCTAATCGCCTTAAGCAAGCATCGTTTGTGTTACGGGTGTTAGTGTTTTTTAGATTACATTTGCAAGATGCTAATTGACATGATAGCATTGGGTCAACATTGGGTCTCATCAACAAACTTTATTCACGTACGTAACATCAATACCAAAACCTAACAGCTCTTCAGGCCAGAGGTAATCATCTATCACTAAACCAATCGCTGCTAATGATATTCAGGCCGAGCTTTGACAAGCGCCGCAGACAAATGACGTACAAACTCTATGGCTGGCCGATTAATTGACCAATAGCCAGATTGGTCCAGATATGCCGCCAAAAACCCAATGCAATTTTGCTACCTCTGATGAAAACCTTTACTAAACTACTGCCTGATCCTTGATGTGTACCTACACTAAACTAGGTATGAACTTGATTAGGTTCTACTAAACTTACAACCTATTAAAAAAAAGGTCTAATATTATTACAGGTTATGGCATTCAGACTGAAATAAATAAATAAAAATAAATCAAAGACTAGATGAACATCAACTCCCGCCGTTATTTGCATTAAATGCATTATTTTCTGTGTTTTTAAAAACTTCGTTTCTACTTAAATAACACTTGCTGACGCAAAACACAGGTAAAGAAAATAAGATATTACACTAATTTTGAATACCTAAGCAACATAGCAACAAAAAATTCACGCGATGCGGTCGCTCTATCAACCTGGACCCTGAGGGCTTAGTGTGAGTTTATATCAAACGTCCTCACTAGTGAGCGCGTCAAAAAAAATATTATATGAAAATGTTAGTTCTTGAAAGTTTCCGCTAGGGCTAGACGCGACTAGCTTATTAGTTCGTCTCATTAGTAGGTATTTGTTAGACAATAGCAATATTTTATTTTAATTCTCGTTTCTCATCATTATTTTACCACAAATTTGCTTAGTTAGAAGTGACCAGAACAGTAGAGCTTATCACGAGTCTTTGAGCAATCACGCGGCGCGGTCGCTCGATCAACCTGGGCCCTGAGCCCGGATCAGACGCGAGTAGCTCAATTAGCTCGCCTCATTAGTAGGTAGTTATTAGATAATAGCTGTGTAATGGAAAACTTTATTTAAGTATGTGGATGAAAGTAAGTCTTATTTCTCGACATTTTGTCCCAGTACCTAACCAATGCTATTGTCTTGCTTTGGCCAGAATAGTAGAGCTAATCACGAGTCTTTGAGCAATCACGCGGCGCGGTCGCTCGATCAACCTGGGCCCTGAGCCCGGATCAGACGCGACTAGCTCATGAGCTCGCCTCATTAATAGGTAGGTGTTAGACAATACCAATATTTTATTTTAATATGTGAATGTAAGTTCAGTCTTGTTTCTCATCATTTTGTTCCCATAAACTTGCTTAGTTAGAACTGACCAGAACTATGAGCTAATCACGAGTCTTTGAGCAATCACGCGACGCGGTCGCTCGATCAACCTGTTCCCTGAGCGCGGATCAGACGCGAGTAGCTTTAGTAGTAATTAGCTCGCCTCATTAGCAGGTAGTTGTTAGACAATAGCTGGGTAATGAGAATATGGAGGAGGAAGTTAATAGGTCGTGATAGATAAGTGGTATATTGTCTGTTGCGTTGTGGAAATCCTTGGGAGAGGCCTTTGTCCAACAGTCGATGTCATTTGACTGTAACGAACAGATCACTAATGATAATATGTTTCTCAGTATTATTTTCATAGCTTCAAATCAGTTCCCCAGTTAAATCATTAAACAATAATTCCAAAAAAAGTAAGAAGGACACCTAAAATTAATGCAATGTGTCTTGGTTCAATAAGATATCTCGATACTCTCTCGATAAGATGTGACTTGACGCTCATTAGCTTGCCTTGATATTAACTTAAGTTCTGTCTAAATAAAGCAGATATTCGTTATTACAATGTAGTATATTCAGTTTTATTAAAAGTTATACGCCGTAAGTAATAGATAGAGCTGCACTCGGTCTTTGCTCCTAGCAGGAATCAGATTCGACTTATACTCATTAGCTTGCCTCATTAATACTTAGTTTCTAGCGTTGATCTGACCGTACCTTAGAACATAATAATAATATTAATATCCTTGTAGAAATGATGATACGAATACCAAGCACTCTGCATTTCGATAACAAATTCGTTTAACTTCAACCATAAACCATACCTCCATACAGCTATATACAGGGTGTCCTGAAATATAGTGTCAAGCCGAAGCCCAGAGGTAGAGCATTACTAGGGCTACCCCAATCACCGCAACTTTTGATATTTTTCAAGTTACGATATTTGTTACAACATACAGAATTTTAAACGTTTTTTAATTTACATTCGTGTTATGAATGTAAATACTTCTGAATCAGCTGGGCGTAGTATTCATGGGCATGTACCTTAACTATTAGCGCCACAGTGACCAAAAAGTGCCTAAGTTCGTTCGATCGTTCGTTTCAGCCGAAAGACGTCCACTGCTGGACAAAGGTCACCCCCAAGGATTTCCACAAAGACCGGTCCTGCGCCGCTCGCATCCAGGCGCCTCCCGCGACCTTCACCAGATCGTCGGTCCACCTAGTGGGAGGCCTTCCGGCTCGAGGTCGCCACTCAAGAACTTTCCTGCCCCAGCGGCCGTCAGCTATGTGCCCTGCCCACTGCCACTTGATTTCAGCGATTCTGCGGGCTATGTCAGTCACCTAAGTACAGAAATCTAATACATAGAGGTGATTCGGGTAGCCCTAGTGATGCTCTACCTCTGGGCTTCGGCTTGAGACTACTTTTTGGGACAGACTGTATAGCCGGCTCCACGCAAACAACATCGCTGCCATCGTACGTTTCAATTAGCCAAACGCTGTTCATTAATAACGACCGAATCGAACTTATGGCTCTCCCCTGTTCTCAGCTAGATTAGGCACTTACTTCCAGTTTACGAGCCGTCTTGCAAACAGTTCGGATGCCAAAATAGTAAAAAAGGAAATATTTTTTATGTAGCCGCCATAACATTTCTTTTTAGATGTATTTTTTATGTTCGTGTTTTGTGTGTGTAATAGAGTTGTATAGTATTTATAATAAAAGTATTTATGTTGCTTAACTGATTATTATGTGTGCAGCCTGTCACCAACAGTAGAAATTTTGTTAAGTTTGAGACTAGAAATGCTGTAGTGTACTAAATTGTGCTACAAGGATACCTACTTATTTATCAAAGAAATTCGCGGTTCCGCATCGTGATATTCGGTCTGTCGCAGAAAAAATTAACCTGGTTCACTCATTATGTCAGTAGTTCCAGATCAGTGATGTCTTTCTATAAACAACAAATCAGTGATGACTTCATAAACCTAAACGAAAAATATATTGGCTATATTTGAGGATTCTTTTTTTGCACCCCAAACTATTAGGTATACTCGTACAGCGCTCAGACAAACTGAACGCTATTTTTATACGACGTTAAACATTGACTTTACTGTCTGCATAAAAGTTGACTTCTAACTCCGCTAGTCGCCATTTCTGGCATCGCTCGCCACGACTGAACTCGTCCAATTAAATCGGATGCCGGTGTCGAAATCGTGGACGAATTTCTGTCCGGATTAGAAAACCACGCGAAAACTCCGGACGCGTCGTGGTCGGACGAATTACGAGCCGTCACAATTGACTAGAGTCAGAGAACAGCAATACTTACTATTGTTCATGTCGGGCTCGAAGGACCATGTTTTATTTTGACGTGTAAAACTAAAAACTCACTATGTACTCGTAGCACAATCATCAATAATAATCATATTGAGCAGATTTCATGAAAGAGAACCATACGTTGTTAGATTGTTTTAATAGGGAACAAAATTCAACAGATTGAACTTTTACGTACAGCAAAAGCCGAATGCTTTACACAAGAAAAGTTGACTCTTATTTTGCATATTTAACCTTATTTATAAACTTATTCATACTGTTTCCTACATCCACGGTTCGTTTTAGAATACGCCCCTAACTTTTATCCGTGCGAGGACAGACGTCGTCTAATTGCGAACAAATGAGATTGATTGAAGGTGACCGCGACAGGAGTGCTCGTAATTTGACACTGAAAAAGCAAACAAAAGAAAGTACGGTTAGGGTTTAATATTATTTACGATTGGCTGGTTTGGTGCTGTAGCTCGCAAATATTTTGGGATCACAAGTATTCGTCCTTTGTATCGGCGGATATACCTACCTACTTTTGTGGAGTAAAGATGAAAAAATAAATAACTATCCCACAAAAGATCTTGTAAGTTTTATATTTTTAAATCGGGGAAAACTAGACAATCCATATCTGATACCACACAGATGCTTATAGACACCGATGAGACTATAGATATTCGACTCAAAAACCATTTTCTTGACCAGAGATAATCTCTAATGAATTCAATCTCTTTCCTTCATTATACAACTTTTAAAATGACAAAAAATATTCTATATTATCTATGAAAGCTATTTTTGTCACTTGACATTACATCATCCAGCAACGGTCACATTTTTGAAATCAAACAAAATTTATCAGTGTAGCTATGTAAAATTTTAGTGTTTCTATAAGATTTAATAACAAAAACATCAAGTTTTAGTTGAATTCATCGTTGTTTTAGAGCAATAAATAAGCAATAAAGGTTTGGTACTTTCCAAAATCGATTTCTTCGCTAACTCAAATAATATTTTCTTCCTTAAATATATTTTTTAACGATTCTTAATGCAGTTACAGACCGTGAGATAGGATGAGGATAAGGCAGATGCCCTTATCCAAGAAATAAGCGTCAAAATTATTGTGTACGTTTGCTGTCATTAGCCATGAGTGTGGTGGTAGACCCTGGCCCGCGGAAGGTCGGAAGCGTCTTACGGAAGAACTTTCTTCAAGTGGAAGAAGTTGAGGATGAGGATTTCCATCCGGAAGCCGATAAGACCGAGAGTGGCACGCAAACAAAATTTGGAAAAGGGAAAGGTAGCGATTTGTTTGCCTAACAATTTTTATAACACCTTTTCTCCTAATGTGAACTTTATTGCACCGTTTTGAGGCAAATAGCAGCATAATGTGCTCATATCACAATTATCATAACTAAGTTCTTGATAGCATTCTGTTTTGTTGCAGGGAAATGCATTCCAAGCGGGATGATACAAAAATGTATAAAGCATATAATCATACCAAATCATAAACCGAAAAAACGAAAAAGTACGTATAAAAATCTTATCAACATTCATTAATTCATATATTTTTTTTGCTTTTGTTGATTTACATTTTCTGTTTCAGTCAAATTAATGGACTGGAAGAAATATCACAGACTGAACGTAATATACGCATTTCTAGATGAACTGGAGAGAGATTTTCCTGCAATTTGTACTGTATCTGTGATTGGGAAATCTGTTGAAGGACGCGACATCAAAGTAAAAACAATTTATTTATACTTTACACTTTCACATTTTTGCTTAATAAGAATGCGACCACACTATTTGTGGCTATTCCAGTGGAACTCACGTCGTCAAATAGCTCGTGCACAGTACTGCACAGTCCTATAAAAAAACTCCTACGAGTATAATATGCTTCCATGGTTGTTATAGAGATAGTTGACCTCTCTTGTTCAGAGTTCCCAGGTTATATTCCCATTAATGCACATTAATGAAAAAAGGGTGTGTATAAGAATAAAATCTTTACTTAATTTAATATCTCAAAGTTCAAACTGAAACTCGAATCTTTCAAATGAAATGCGTATGCCCAACAGATGTTGAAAATTTCGAACAGCAACGCAAGCAACTGCGCGGTTTGGCTGGACGGGTCCATACACCCGCGCGAGTGGATCACCACCGCCGTCGTCACCTACATAGCCGACGTCATCGTCAAGAACTTCCCGAATCTATCCACCTCCATCACCAACAAGGACTGGTGAGGAATATCAGGGAACTTAAAGTCGACAGCATATAGTAATACGTACTTTATACATAATCATCTTTTCCAGTCTATAACAGTCTACTGCTGGAAATAGGCCACCCTAATACGCGCCATTTTACTCTAGCTTCAGCTTTTTGCATCAAGAAGTTTTGATTTTTCGACAGATATGACTTTCCTGTTCACCTTATTCATCTTTATAAGACACGACTTTTGACTGTTCACCTAACCAGGCGGCTGTTGAATAGAAAATGATAGTACTGATTTTGATAAAAATTAAACTTGCAGGCACATAGTTCCTGTTCTGAACCCTGATGGGTATGAATATACGTATACCCACGACAGGATGTGGAGGAAGAACAGAGCCTGTTACGATGGAGAGTATGGCGTCGACCTCAATAGAAACTTCAGGTAACAATTGATGATCTTGTGTGCTTCAATGAAGCTGACTTTCTAAATGAAGTAAATTGCTTTTTTCTTCAAACAGTTACGGATGGGGTAATAACGGTGATGAAGGTTCCTCAGAAGACCCGAACAATGTGTTTTACAGAGGACCAGCGCCCTTTTCGGAACCAGAAACCGCAGCCGTAAGGGTGAGAATCGTATAACAACAACATTATCTTTTCCTGCATGCGATCACTTCTCTATTTCTTACAATAAACAATCCAAAAATCTTATTATTTGAATCTCTCTGAATCAGCAAAGTATACTGGTATTCATAACACTATGTCGTGAGTGAACTAACGGAAAGTTTTTTTCCAGGATACAATATTAGGGTCGACAACGCCATTCAAAGTTTTCCTGTCGTTCCACAGCTATTTCGAGCTTATAATATTTCCGTGGGGATTCAAAAAGGATCCATGTCCCCACTATTTGAGACTGCTCGAAGGCGGTGCGATTATGGCAAGAGTAAGTCATATTTTTATCTTTTGTATCTTCCAACTAAATACTGAATTAGACGTGTATAAATAAATAAGGGTCATGATTGACGGCGATTATTAGTGGCACCGATTATTGTTTGCATCCCCATTATTTACCTTTAAATCTTTAATAAACTCATTAATTACAGTTATTGCTTCTATTAGTGGTTCAAAGCGTAGTTTTGTTCCAGGCAATCTACGACGCGACAGGAATGACTTACAAAGTCGGCAGCACAAAAGACATGACTTACTATGCATGCGGCACCAGTATAGATTGGAGTTACGCCATCGCTAAGATCCCCTACTCCTACATGATCGAACTGCGAAGCAAGAAGCATAAGTTCAAACTGCCAAGAGACAAAATTGCCGAGACGTGTTTGGAGATATGGAGTGCCGTCAAAAATTTCATGGAATACGTCGACCAAAAATAAACTGTGAGAATATTATAAAAGTGAAACTTAAGTTGTTATTGTAATGGTGTTGTAGGTATAAAGTTAAGTGACAATAAACAGTATTGTATTGATAAATCCTTTATTGACGATATCACCAACAATATACACATTCTAAAACATTCATAAACAATAGCATTACATAGTTGATTTCCTTTTAGATATAACAGCATGATTTAAACACTTTTTTGTGTCGACGAATTGTGCTAAAGCCTTTATGCCGTTGAGTACTTCTCTACAGCAGTCTAGTATTTGTTCTTTGGGTAGTAGAAATCTGTGTTCTTTGCTTCTCAACTCGACGAGGTATGAAAACGGTATACGAGCTACACCATAGCTCCAGTCTATGCTTGTTCCACACGCGTAATACATGAGGTCTTTGAAGTTGCCAACTTTGTACATGCGACCGTTTGTTTCATAAATTGCCTGCAAATAATAAAATAAGTTATTATGATAAATACTATAAATATCGTAGATACCATTTTAAAACTCGAGGTACCTACTCATTTCCATTGGCTCTGCTCAGAGGAATACTCTTAATTTTTTAATACTATTGCCCCGCACTCTTTAAAGTATTATTTACCTAAATGAGTTTTATTTACCTTGGCCATGATAGTGCCACCTTCTAGCAAAGTGACGTAGTCCATACAAGGATCAGCTGTGTAGCACCAAGGAAACGATATCACTTCACTATAAGAATGAAATGTTAAGAAAATCTTGAATGGGGTCCCCGAGTATAATATTAAATCCTGCAAATATTCAAAACATCAGGCAATTGGTTAGCAGATAATATCTTATCAAGAGTTTTCTAGAGTTAAGGAACAAACTTTGACAGCAGCAGATTCTGGCTCCGAAAAAGGTTCTGTTCCACGATAATTTATATGGTACGGGTCCCCTGATGAACATTCACCGGCTCCCCGTCCCCAGAAATGTCTGAAATAAACAAACAATAAAACGATTCTGAAAAATAAATGAAAAAGTAAACACAGAAACATCAGATAAACATGGATACCTAGATAGTCTAGGTATCCATGTTTATCTGATGTTTCCCCAGTTATTAAAAATGATTCCACGCCTAAGCTTCTTCAGAATCAATATGTATTTATGTATGTCTAGGACAGAATCTACTTTGACATTTAAGTACTTGTCATTGAAATGCTTTAAATAATAGATAGATCAAAATCTTACGAAAAGTTTCTGTTTAGATCGACTCCAGTAATATTATTGCCTACTCGAGCTCTGTTTTTGCGCCACATTCGATCAAGAATGTGAGTGTGATGGTAGCCATCTGGGTTGACAATTGGAACAAAGTACCTAAAAGAAAAGATGTACAATTAGGAATTATTCTGAATGTCTGACTGAAGAAGACACTACAGTGTGTTTCAGGGAGGAAGGTGCTCAGATAGATTCGAACTGACGTAAAAGACTGGGAGATAGATGACGACACTAGTGAACTTAGTAGCGGTAGAGGGAGAGGCTCCTCCCCAAGGAAAAAAAAACGTACAAAAAGAATATAAAGAGTAATATTACCAATCTTTATTCGTTATGCTTCCAGGGAGTTCATCAAAGTTTCTAGCAAGGTGGTCTGCTATGTAAGTGACCACTGATGTACTGATCCACTCCCTCGAATGTATGGCACCGTCTAACCAAACAGCCGTGTTGCTCGCGTCACTATTTGAAATTTTAAGCATCTGCAAAAGCCCAAAAAATACACAACCATGGACGAATAAGCAGCTCACTAACTAAATAACAAATTGACATGCCTAAAGATTGGAGAAATCATTAAGTAATCTGCTGTTTCTTACCTTTATATCTCTGCCTTCTACAGATTTTCCTATACAACTAACTGTGCACGTTGAGGGAAACTGTACCTCTAAGAAATCCATAAAATTGTATATGACATGCAAGGGGTAAAAGTCTTTCCAATCCATAGCTCTTTCTGAAATTATTATTTTCATATTATTTCATGTTCTAGTTCTTCACACAAACTTTAATTTAAAAAAAAGTTTTGTTTCCAAGAATAGAGTTTATTATTAGGCACAAACTTGTTACAAAGCGAAGCTACACAATTCATATGATCACCAAAATACAGAGCAACAAGCAGTGAGTAATCTATTTTGAAACCAAAACAACTTCAGACCGTTCAAGATTGTTATTTCTATTAGTTAGTATTCGTTTTTCCTCTCTACTGAATGAACTGTTTAGCGTGGGATTATTTTAATATTTATACAATCAAACATACTCTGCCGAAAATAAAATGGCATAACAAAACAAACATGTTATCAATTTAAAATCATACTTATGGGTGACCTAGGCCTCTGAATTATGCCCATAGGGCTGCGAGCCCTATGAGGGGAATGGCTGACGACGGCCGTGTCGTTCACCGTGACCTCGTAGTAGATTTCTCTCTCTCGAAGGAGTTTCTCCACCTGCATGATCCTCTGGGCTTCCACCATCACGTCCATGTTCGAGTTGTATTCTTTGCAGATGCTTACCGCTGGAAGAAGACAGGAATATCGAATATTTCTATTCTTAAACATATTGTTCCCAGAATCGATGTTGACCTTAAGCTAGTAAGGGTCTTGAAAATCTATTACAAGTGTTGTTACGCCCACTTGCTATGTATAAGAATAAACAAGGTCGTATTGGGAACAGGAAAATTCCACTACCAAAATACGGTCACCGTTATCTGACAGTCTGCCGCAATTTTTAATTTCGGGTTCGAATCCAGCTAGGGATTTCAAAGATAACTTTTATCTGAAGTCCGTCGGACTTGTCACGTCATTAATTCAGCCATAGGATATCCACTGCTGAACGTAGGCCTCCCCAATGATTTCCACAATGGCTGGTTGGTGGCGGCCTACAACCAGCGCCTTCCTGCTACCTTTATGAGGTCGTTTGTCACTGTTCCTCTAAAAACGGTATCTAATTTACCAACTTCCAGTGTGACCAGTATGATCAGTGTTCCAGTCTCCTAGCCAAGTACTGAGAAATTGGCTATTGAGTTGATAACTAAGAACCTACCGCCTTTTGCGTCTAAGCTTCTTAGAAAAATCTTTTGACCTTCTTTTAAACACTTCACGTCCCATATTTGATATTTTGCTTCTTTCCGTGCCACTTTGATTAATTGCACTAAGATTTTGGAACAAAGGCTTTCGCGAAATTAATTACCTACCCTTGAATTTTGACTTAGTCTGACATTTTAATAAGCAGTCATCGAGATGACGTGACGTAATAGAGTTCGGGATAGAGCTCAAATGAAGTGAATGATTTAGGTATTTTAAAACGATTATAAACTTCAGCGTGGGTCATCTATATTGCATTTGAATATAATAACTGTCAAAGGGCATAATGCCAAATAACCTCAGCTCTACAATGAAGAAAGCGAGCAATCCGTTAATCTGCTTGTTGCAGCTGCTCTCACAATGGCCTCGTAATCAAGACGGCTCGCGCCGCGCCGCGCCGGAGCGCTCGCTCGATAATTAGATGTAATCAGATATTTTCAGTAAACGCCTCGACGACGACCGCCCGACCCTCTGCACTCCCCTATAATGAGACGGAGACACTACTACTGGTTCTCGTTTTCGGTTTCAAATCTTTTTAGTGAAAAATTTATGAGCTTTGTCATTCTACATCATTCTAGCGATTTTTGTGATGTCACTTTGAACAAGTAACATCGTTGGTACATTGTAGAGCTGTAAAATCCATCCGTAAAGTGCCATGTATAGAACATAACAATTATTATACGTATCGAAGTGATCTCGAACTGAAATTGTTAACTTGTATGCCTAAATCAATGCGCTAAAGTGTTCAAAGGTATATTTTGTTGAAGGCCAGGATCAACTTAGAGGCAAGATCACCCAAGAAGATTTTGGGCAGTGCTATGTTCTATACCTACTTCTAATGAGCTTTTAATCAAGGATAATAAATAAAGTCTATATTGGGGCGTACTTTCATGCCCTGAAAATGGCCTACATACATACTAATAAACTGGGTCTGCCTTCAGGTCAAAGTGAAAGTAACCTGAACGCAGACCCCATCTAGTGAGTGGATAATACCTATTGTGTATTTGCACAGCGAACAGCAAGTCGCTATGATTTGAAAAATATACAAATTCTTATTAATATGTACCTACTTTGACCTGACCTGCCTGACCAGACCGCGGGTAGTAAATGCCGCTAAAATAATAAAACATTTTCGATTAAAAGTTTCAATATCACTTTTTTATGCAGGACAAGGCAGGTATTTGACCGCAATCGCACATCGTGTTAAGTAAAAATGCAGTCTAGGATGGTACATACATAGCCCTGTAAGTGCCTATTCACTCTCACCTTGAAAAGACAGCAGCAGGCAGCAAATTCCAGTCCCTAGCTGTTCGCATTATAAAAGAGTCATCGAAACGCTTAGCCTAGGCGCAAACCATCGAATTTTCGTCGGCAGATAGTTTAGTCGGGCAGTTGATCAGTATGGGCAAATAGGCATGTATGGAAGTACCTACGCACATTACACCGATTCGATTTGGCTGATTCTTCATACATTTAAAATCGGGCACAACTATCGGCCAACTAAAAATCGGTGGTCTGCGCCTAGTCTTAGTGCGAGCTGGTGGGATGTCGATGTTATAATCTCGCAATTTGATCTCGAACCGTTCTCACTTCTTTCTCGTTTCTGTCAAACGTACCACTAGTAGGGGCGATCACTTGGTAACCCGCTAACCAGTCTGGGACCCCAAACGTCTCCACCACCCACTCGGTCTTACGCGTTTATCTTTTTAATTGCGCGCCCGGCTTGTTACTCGCTTGTTAGATTTATCGGTGCCTTCTGATGTCACTCGGATTGATCCCGCCTTTTGACGTGCCGTTTTTTTAAATTGGTCGGGGAAGAGGAAAATAGTAATGAAAAAAAGCTTTTCGTACGGTTGTCAATTATCAACAGCGAGAGGTTTTGATCGCTCTGTGTGGGTGCAAGTGTGTAGATTTAAACGAAAGCTTCGTAGGGTTATACTCGTACCTATACTGTTATTAAATAATGTTTTCGATTTCACATTTAGAGATATTTTGCTTAGGTTACATTTTTTGTAGCGTTTTTGTATTTTTTGGTAGCGCAGGACCGTGCATTGTAGAAAACCTTGGAGGAGGCCTTTGTCCAGCAGTGGACGTCATTTGGCTGAAACGAACGAACATTTTTTTGAGAATTGAAACTCGGAATCGCAAGCGGATCTAAGTTCTGACCACAAAACTTAGTCTGGTGTTTTAATACCCTTTTTATTATAGCCTCTATTTAAAGTAAGCAAGGAAGTTTCCATTTGACAATTAGTAGCTCACAGGTCGAGGGTGGGGGCTGTGGGGTGGGGGCTTTGTTTTTCATTAGTCGCTTATGGGGCGTCGCAGCACTTAACTGTCGTCTCCGCGTCCGATGTGAGAACTATTTAACAACGCCTTTTGAGATAACGCCATATTCGATGGGTTTCATTTTATTAGAATTATGATGTCTATTTTGAAAATTACATTCTAAATTCTATTCTTTCTTTTTCCCTAAGTTTGTTAGGAAATAAAGTTATAATATGAATGTGCAAGATTTTTTTGGCGATAGCGCAAAGCGGGTGGAACTGAATAAATTAGTGAATTGAGTTGAGAATCGATTAAAATTTTCTCCAAAGGCACACTCGTTTTTTAGATTACCGTTGGATTACCGTACGGTATTCTCTGTGGTTGTTTCTATAGAGTGCCTTGTCTTTGGTTGTAATTTTGGCAATGCGATAATGTCAATTCTTGTCACACACCATAATAAAAACATGTCATTGATAAAATAGAAAATACAGCAAAATAAACCCAATAAAATGAATTCACTCCTTATTCTATTTAGTTGACCTAAGCAAGATTTTCTATCGCTGCCATGTAACATACAACAAGAAAAAAACATTAGTTACTAAACTCAAGACACAGGACTCCACACACCATATTCTAAACAAGTTTAAAATGGATAAATTAGGTCACACTTGTCACCTTTCTTGCATGAACCCCAACCATCATTTCTCCAGACGTGGTCAGATTACTTACTACAACCCTGACGATTCCGCATACAACTCTGAAGGTACCCAAAATGATAGCGACCCTCCAAACTCCAGTGGAAGCTACCACAATCACAAGAACAAATATGAAGAAACCATCAAATTATTGCTCGAACGGTACGACGATAGTGTGCCAGAATCCACTGGTGCTTACAGCAACTACTATAAAAATATGCTCCAGCAAACACCATCTTCTAAATTGAAGGCCCACGTAAAACTGAGTAAGATGATTCACATATTGGAGAGTGACGACAGCAACCATATAGTTCTGGAAAGCAGGAGCAGTCCTACCATCTTTTGCACCGAACATCATTACGACAGTGATGAACCTGTAATAATTAAAACTCCTACGCCTATAAAAGCCAGTATCACCGAAGAAAGTAAGCAAAATAGTTTAATACCTAACAAAATCTTTCTATGAACTAAGCCTACTTTTAAAAATGTTCTTGACCTTATTTTAGAAGATGAAAAGCAATCTCAACCACCTCGAATGGATTGGAACGACTACCACACTCTGGATGTCATACATGGATTTATGGATGACCTTGAGTATGACTACCCTTCAATATGCACTGCTGGAGCTATTGGGAAATCACTCGAGGGAAGAGATCTAAAGGTATCACAGAACACATTATGGTTAGAAAATCTTGAACACCTGCAAAACTATTCATGAAGCCTTTTGGAAGGGTTTTTATTGGCGGTCAAGTTGTAGATCCTAGCTACACAGGAGTTGCAGCGTTGGGAAAGAGAGGTGGGGATAGTCCCGTATTCATGAAGCCTGCGGCAGATTAATAACGCTCAGTTATAACGGCCCACACGATAGTAGAGAAATACACTAATTTTGATCTACTTCTAAACTCCATTGTGGTTATACATTTCAAAGGAGTATTACAATACTTATGTTTCCTTTCCTTTGTTTATAAAATAGATACTCAAGATATCGAACAGTGACACAACCAACGCATGCGTGTGGATAGACGCGGGCATACATGCGCGGGAGTGGATCGCCCCAGCCGTTGCCACGTACATCGCCAACCATATTGCGACTAACTTCAATACCATGCCTAACAGCGTTACTAACAAAGACTGGTAAGTATGACCAAATAAGTAAGACCAAGCTTTAAAAAATTTTAAATACATTGTTGGTATTTAGAGTTTTTCAAGTTTACAACTGGAATCTCATCATCATCATTTCAGCCATAGGACGTCCACTGCTAAACAGAGGCCTCCCTTAATGATTTCCACAATGGCCAGTTGGTGACCTGCATCCAGTGCCTTCCCGCTACCTTAATGAGGTCGTCGGTCCACCTTGTGGGTGGACGTCCTACGCTGCCCTTTCCGGTACGTGGCCTCCACTCCAGAACCTTGCTGCCCCATCGGCCGTCAGTTCTGCGTACTATATGCCCTGCCCATTGCCACTTTAACTAACTGGAATCTATAAGGATTTAAAGAAAATTGAGCTCTATTTCATTAATGGTTCAAGATCAATTTGTTTAATGGTTATGTTTCTAGGTATTTTCTTCCAGTAGTAAATCCAGATGGCTACGTGTACAGTCACACTGTGAACCGTTTGTGGCGAAAAAACAGAGCCTGGCATGCCGGGGAATGTGTGGGAGTCGATTTGAACCGAAATTTTAGGTCTGTAATATTTTAGTTAACTTATTTGATATGTTTAGCCTTTTATACGACAGTGGGAATATAGTCCCCACCATATTTTTAACTTTATTCCCTTGTCTTGAGGTCCAAAAACAATGAAAATTTTGGACTCGTCATGCCCATTATAGGCTTTTGAGACACTAAACTAGATTTTCTGAGACCATTGAATGCTTTCTTTTTACACATTTTTTCATGTTATAACTACTAATCTAAATTCAATGGTTGGCAATTTGGCATAACGCACAGAAAAGGCTACATTCTATTAATTTAGAGTAAACAAACAGTTCGTCTGTAATGCAAATAGGCATAATGAAGTGGTATTTTAATTATTATGAAGTAATATCAATTCAGCTCCGGTTGGGGTGGAAAGGGCTCGTCGGGAAACCCAGCGAACGCGTTCTACAGAGGACCAGAGGCGTTTTCCGAGCCGGAGTCAAGTGCTATGAGGGTAAGAACCATTTAAGCCTTTGTCCAGCAGTGGACGTCTTTCGGCTGAAACGTTCATTTTTAGACGTAATACTTTTAAGTGTTTCATTCATTTTTAAAACAAACATACTATTGTAGGTACATCTTAACAGAAATGATGTATGAGTTCACTATTTAATTATTCATAGTTATCCATTAAGTGAATAAAAAATCCACCAATAGATGGCGTTGCCTGTACATTAGTTCGCGATAGGTCATTGCATCTTTTTTCACTAAGCTCAGCTCAGTCAATAGATTTGACCCGTCTTTATCCCAATGCAGTGGAATCCAAGTTTTTGTCTACTGTAAAGATATTTAAAGCTGTATCTTTTGTAAAGATTGTGATTTCCAATGATCAACAACACGTGCGACGCAATCATTTAGCAGTAATGCCTGATGCCGCGATCGTGCCGTCAGCGGCGCGCGCCCAGATTAAAGTTCAAACAGGATTTAGTCGTAAATCAATTCAATGCAACGGTTTACATTATTCTGTTACATTATATTAATTCCCTATTAGGGTTCATTGGGCTGGGAATTAACGAATTTGCCCGTAAAGCTCTGATTTATTTACTAGTTACTTGATTTATTCAGTTGAATCTTTGTGTAAAAGTATTGATTCTGGAATTTTTGCTGTAAAACTGAATGAGCCCCGCATTCTTTTTTGGCAACAAATAAATTAGGCTACTAATCTTAGTAAAAGTTTCCTTAGTTAAGTTATGGAAATTAAGATTCAAAGTCACTGGTTTGATTCCCGTAAGGACCACATGAACTTGGAAAAATTACACTTTCAGAATGCTCCTACGAGTATAGGACTACAAAATAAGACTAATTTAACAACAGTACAGAGAGTAAAATACATGAAATATTCGGCAAAAAAACCAACCCCAAACTTTTCACGGAACCTCTACGTGCCAATATTTCACGCTTGACCAAATCCTTGTCATTGCAGGACATGTTGATAAATACGGGAATATCGTTCAAAGTGTACATCACTCTACACAGCTACGGCCAGGTGATCATATTCCCGTTCGCCTTCAAGGAAGACCTGTGCCCGGACTATGTGAGGTTGCTGGAAGGAGCTACGGTCATGTCGAAGGTGAATGACGTCATCAATTTTACAGATATCGATAGCTAAGCATGGCATCTTGTGTAGTATGATTCCACTGGCAAAACACTTAGATACACTTGTCGTTAACAAAGGAGCGATAAAAGATAATAACATAACGAAAGTACACTAATCACCTACAAATGAGCTTCTGAGTCATTCTTGCTGCAGACAGATTTTAAGGCTTGGTTGCACCATGTTACTTTTACTTTAACAAACGTCAAAAATCTGTCAAACTCCATACAAAAATCACCGGTTATCGCTATAGTCACGGTTAAAGTTAAATGGTGCAACTCAGCCTAATTATGACAAAATTTCTGGGGCATACGACAAAAATATAGAATGATTTAGATACTTAACATCATTACATAATATTTTTAGTTAATTACACGTAAAATCTTGCAGAGGAATCCTTTATATTACAGTTTATGAAAAAAAAATGAAACCTAACCATGAGCCTAACCTATTGCAGTTTATGCAAATAACTGATATAAAACAGTTAACGTTTACTCACTTTTCAACCGACTTCAAAAAAGGAGGAGGTTCTCAATTCGACCCGTATGTTTTTTTTTTTCTATGTTTGTTACACGATAACTCCGCCAATTATGAACCGATTTGAACAAATCTTTTTTCGGCGTATAGGTAATACCTCAAGGGTGGTCCCATTTAAATTTAATAATAGAAAAAACAACCCCCAAGGGTGGAAAATTCGAGATGAACTTTTTTATAAGCAATATCTCCGCCGATTATAAATCAATTTGAACGATTCTTTTTTTGTTGAATAGGTATTATCAAAAGGGTGGTTTCATGCGAATTTGAAGTAAATATTTCACCCCCAAGGGTGGAAAATTGGGGATGAACTTTTTTATACGCAATATTTTTAATTTTTAGTTTTTTTTTGTGTTCACGCATTTGAAGTCGGTTTTATTTTTTTTAAAAGTTAATTATTGATTTAGATACTCTTTGCACACATTTTGCTTACACACGTTTTAACAAAAGAGATAAATATGCAGAATCTTGATGTTCTATAACTTTCCGTTTACCTTTTTCCCACAGGCTATCTACGAAGCCAGCGGCAATACTTACAAGGTGGGCATATCCAGGGATGTAATGTATGGTGCAGCCGGTACCAGTAACGATTGGAGCTACGGTGAAGCCGGTATACCCTTCTGCTACCTCATAGAGCTGAGGAGTAGGAAGCACAAGTTCAAGCTGCCTAAGGAAGAAATAGAAGAAACAGGGAACGAGATCTTGAACTGTGTGAAGGCGCTTATGGAGTTTGTGGACAAACACCCGGTGGATAAATTGAAGAAGTAGAGTGTAAGGTAAGGTAATAAGTGTTTATAGAGCTAAATTAAAACCCAAAGACGTAATAATGGACATAATAAATATTACCTTAAAATGTCATGTAAAATACCAAAAACTAATATTAATAAGAAAAAATAATGAATGGTTAATGGTATTACATTGAGGTGGAACACTGAGGAATAATACGTTACTGTGTGAATATTTTCCTCAATTTTTTCCTCTCTCGAAAAAGACTCGACCGTCGACCGTAGTTGCGACCAAAATGCTTAAAAAATTTAATGAAACCTCAAATTATTTTATGTGTTTAATTTGTCAGATGACATTAATCATTGTCATTTGAAAAATGTCCTGCCGTCAAATCATTCAAAATTGCAAAAGTAAACAATCAGCATTTTAAAATTTAATTCTTTTCGTTACCAGTGAAACAAAATTATCAAAGTGGCACCAATCAGTGATAAAACCCAAGTATGGGAGGTAAAATTTGTTAGGGAGGGGCAAAGATATTTCGTCAAGTCTCTGGACACAGTGGGCGGTAATTTAGCATTCATTTAGTTAAAATAATTATTATTTAAAAATGATATGAAAGCAATCCTGGGTAAACTGATATCTCTCAATAATGCGGTCTTCCAGTGCCCCGAGGGGATTCTCAGAGGTATCATTTCGTGATGAAATTGATATTGATAACTGAAATAAAATCAAAATAATTTGGTCTATATCGCACTTCAAAATTCCCTTTTTTTTCCTGATCGGTTAATTGCTTTAAAATCGATAAGCTTGTAGGGTTTGCAATCTCGTTCGTCTTCAATACCGCAAAAGCCACAATAAAAGAACTTGTTTATAAACAAAAAACATTATGCCAGAACCGGAAGCTATGTTAATTATGTAATCGTTTGACGTCATTCTTCAAATATTCTCGTCTGATTCCAAAGGATATAACAATGAGGTAAAGTAGCCAAAGTTTCAAATGCTATGCTACAAGCCTCATACTCACTGCTATAAGATTTTCGATCAGTTTTAGGGATCTAGCAACCTCAACAAATGTGGACATATCTGAAATGACTACTCAAACCAACGTAGATGTATCTGAAATCACTACACAGACAAACGTGGACACTTCTCAGTTAGCCTCTCAAACTGTCGTGGATATGTCAGGAGTAACTACCCAAACCAATGTGGAATCATTTGATATGCCTACTCAAACTACAGCACCTAAATGACAAGAATAAAACTTACTTTACAACTCAAATAGCTAATCTGAATTATCCAATGACGAAGAATATGATGGCTCGCAACATGTTAAAGCTCTAACAAACCACACTGAGATTAGCAGAAGAAATGCTATTCACGTTGATTGAACTAATATACGTAAGAACTATGCTGGCGATAATGCTGCTATTGATTTTTTCTAGCATTGAAGGTACATTCATTGTAACTTTAGTATCAAGTTAAAACAAAATTAAGATTACACGTGCTTTGGGTTTGCAATCCCGCACGTTATGAATGAATGACAAAACTGAAGGCTTTTAAAAGAAACATTCCGAAATTCAAAATAAAACCATCTGAATGTTACGTGATAGATGATTGATCTTGATGGCAAAGAATTGCGGTGTCACGGATTATCTACCTACAAAATAATTACCTCCAAAAACTTCATCGGAAGGTGCATCGCATGTAGTAAAAATGAAACAGCCGGTGAAAATTATAGACTAAACATGGCGCTAGCTTTTGCGGGATTGCAAACCTTACAAGCGTATTAATAAAAATCATATATTATTTAGATTATTACTGAACATCACTTTAATTTCAGCATTAACGATCTGGAAAGAAGAACGCAGCACGATGGATATAATGGTGGAATCCTCCCGATCCTCACAAGTGGCTGGTATGCTCCACGAAAGAGAGATCCCCTTCTCGGTGGCCATTGGCGACGTGGGTCTGATGATGGAGAGGGAACAGGGCGGCTCTTTTTCAAAGAATAACAGAAGAAACTCCGCAGAAAATCGTAAGTCTTGATTTTTCTTGCATTTTTTTTACCACAGAGTTATTTGATCGCCAATGGTATTTTTGCGTAGTTCCGGGCTCTTGATGTGGTTCATATTCAAATACAAAATGTTTATCCATAGCAAAAACTATAAAATAGAAGACTCCTGTATCTATCCAATATTGTTCTTATTAACTAGCTTTTGCCCGCAACTTTAATACCTTGAGTCGTGCTATTTATTAAAATACATCGTTGTTGATATATTTATAGTTAGGATCATTAGTTTTATTACTTGTTATTTTGCTGGGTAGTTTTTCATACAATAAGAGATTTATTGTATTTTTTCATTGTTATTTAATTTTAACTACCATGCCTTTTAACATGAAATGCATACATAAATGACTCACTCGAGACAATAAAATCAGTTTTATTGCATTACTATAATAAAATATTAAAACAAACTGATATGATGACTGTTAAATCGAAACAGCTAACTTTCTCTACATACGAGTAGGTACATTTCATTATAATTTCAATTATTTTTTTAAATTAGCATGTTACTTTTAACTTTAAATAGGTAATACCTACCTATCATTTTGGCTAATTATTATCTAAACGATTGTAGGTAACAAGATAAGACGGCAATCCGTTACATTACCGCGAAAAAGATTTCACCCAGGTACTCATTTGAGATACTTATAATGACTCATTTACAAATTACTTTATCCAAAACACCAATTTAAGGCCACTTAAAAATTTCATGTATTGTATTCTCATAGGTGATTAAGTAATGCAGTTAAACTAATTAGCAAAGTAATTTCTATTAGTAGCTCAGTCAGATATAAAGCTCAGGGTGCGACTTACAATCATCACTTACATTTCGCGTTTACTCTCTAATAGACGTTATAAATATTAAATATAGACTCCTCGTTCTGTGACTGCGTTAAAACAGTTCTGTTGCTATGTCAGGCAGAGGCATGGATTGGAAGAACTATCACCGATTGTATGCCATATACAACTTCATGGACAGCTTGGTCCTGGAATACCCGTACTTGTGTAGTGTGAGTGTCATCGGAAAGTCAGCTGAAGGAAGGGATATAAAGGTAAGTTTTATATCATTTTAAAGTAGAGCTTCTCGCTATGCATAAACTTAGTTTTTAAAGTTATATTACAAGATCTATTTCTTGCTATAATATGTAACGTCAAAGTAGCTAAAAAAACACAAATGAGGTCCGTTTGCTCTTGTAATGTGAACTATTTAAAGTAATTCTTCCCTGTATTGCGAGGTGAATTTGAGCATCGTTTTACCCTTTCTTGTTTATCAAAGGGAAATAAAGGATTTGGCCTACACTTTTACTTAACTCATAATAAATCTTATCCGATTTTCCTGTTATGTATTTGTAGATGCTCAAAATATCCAACGGCAACCGGGACAACGCGGGCGTGTGGCTCGACGGGTCGATACACCCGCGGGAGTGGATCAGCACAGCAGTCGTCACCTTCATAGCTGACCGGATCGTGAGGACCTTCAACGAGCAGCCGGAGAGCGTCACTAATAAGGACTGGTGAGTTTCTTCTTTCACACCTGACAGAAAGAGCGCGTCTCCCAACGTCAGTAATAGTCACCTAAAAGGAAAGATTGTAATTTGTAACCAGCAAAAATGTTCATTGAACAAAATTACTTTTATCAATATACATACGTATATTCGCCTTTGCTTCTAAAGTTTAAAAGATATCTGTGAGATGAAGTGCTGACTTTTGCTCTTCAAGCAGCTTTGGAAAGTTGCCATGCAAAAATTTTAGTGAGCTACTGACAGAATTAAAAGACTTATGCCCGTTTTCACCATCAATCCCTAATTTTAAGTGACTCCTATGGTAACACAACAGGAATTTTGTTTACATAGGTCATTAAAAAATTAGGGATTGATAGTGAAAACGGGCATTAAATTATTTGTGACGTCACCCATTTAGGGCTTGTCATAGTTACCATGTCCTATTTCGAATTTCTACCTACTCCTACCTATAATTGTATATTTGGCATATCTAATAACTTTCTGGTATTCCCAGGTATATCCTCCCAGTCATGAACCCAGACGGCTATGAATACACGCACACGCACGACCGCATGTGGCGGAAGAACCGCGCGCGCTACGGCGAGTGCGTCGGCGTCGATTTGAACAGGAATTTCAGGTATGAATTCAACTCTCATCAATTTCTCAGTTTCAGGTTCAGAATTATTAAGTATTTGACATGACAAATAATTTCAAGACACAACTTCTTTAACTCGTGGAACCATAAGCGGTCGCATGAAACCGCGGTAACAATTTGATTTCTATTGTCTCGATTTGCTGAAAACTGTTGAATTTACTGACAATCTTTATTTTTAGTAGCTTCAAAAAACATAATGTATCTGTGTCCGAGCGATTTACAGTTTCGATTATGCCCCCCTAGACAAGTTGCACTTTTTGATCGAATCGAAAATCGAATCAGTCATAACTCCGTACAAAAAAGGCCTTTCGACCATTTTTCGACTGGTTTGGGATTACAATGTGCACTTTGTCTAGACCGATTCATTGTGGTGGTCGACTTCATTGTATTGACAGCACATGTCAAACTGTTTATTTACTTTGAATTTATTTTGTTGTTTGTTCTTCAGTTACGGTTGGGGAGAGAAAGGAGAAGAAGGCTCTTCAGAAGATCCAGGGAACATATTCTACAGAGGCCCTAAACCTTTTTCGGAACCAGAAACTGTTGCAGTGAAGGTAATTTTTATTTTATTTCTTCTTTTATTAAGTGACACTCAAAGTGACCAAAAAGTTGACAACACAACCTTATTCTAATTGTAACAAAGACGTTACGCGAACTTTTTAGTCACTTTGGGTATCTAACTATTTGACGCTGTACATTCCATCTAAATAGCGCAATGTGCAATACTTACGTGTATTTATTTCTTTCAGAAAGCGATCCTAGAGTCGGATACGACGTTCAAAGTGTTCCTGTCGTTCCATAGCTATGGTGAAGTGATAATTTTCCCATGGGGCTACACCGGAGACCCCTGTCCGGACTACGTCGAGATGCTTGAGGGTGGCACTGCCATGGCGAAGGTAAATTATATTTTGTTTTATTCTATAAAATCGTTAAAAATTTACAAATGTTTTCAAATTATTTTGCGAAGGATAGTTGACACAATTTACTAATAATCCAACTTCTTTCAAATAGCTGTTCATTTTGCTCCTAAAACCCAATTTCTGTTTTATCAATAAATTATAATTATACAATTACATTTTCATAGCTTTGATGTCAATAACAGTCAATAAAATTAGCAAAGAAACAGCGTCCCTATACTATACAAAATCTACGGAGTAAAAACATCATCGTCATCATTTAAGCCACAGGACGTCCACTGCTGAACATAGGCCTACCCCAATAACTTCCACAACATAACATAATCCCAAAAAAAAAGTCCATAATTTTTACCAAGGTTTTTTCTCTTGCAGGCAATCCACGACGCCAGTGGTCACACCTACAAAGTGGGCAGCACAAAAGACCTCATGTACTTCGCTTCTGGCACCAGTACAGATTGGAGCTACGCAGTCGCCAACATCCCCTACTCATATATGGTAGAGCTACGAGGGAAAAAGCACCGGTTCCTTCTGCCCAAGGAAGAGATCGTATCCACGGCATCGGAGGTCTACAGCGGTGTGATGAGACTCATGGATTTTGTTGACAGACGGTGTAAAGGCGTTGGGAACTGTGTTTGCCCTAAATAGAGCCCTTTAAATAAGATCAAAATAGTTTTACAAAATGAAAGTGATAATGTTAACTTTATACTCATGTGATTTAACCTTAAGAACGCCATTGGTTTCACGTAAATGTAAAAGATCTAATTTGTACGTATGTCAATATTTCTACCTAACACGTCCTGTTAATATTAAGAGCAAAAAGTAAACAAAGCAAGATGAGGCGTAATTTTTACAATTGCGTTTTAAAATGTAATTTAAATTACGAAATACAATATTTAGCAAAATGTACGCTGTTTAACTTGGACCCACGTAAATAAAAGTGGAATGCAAAATCATTATTTACACAAATGAGTCGGGGCAGGTTGCCAGAACTGTAAATAAAATTTAAATTAATATAAAACAGCCTAGTGCTTACCACAGCGTTATAGATGGTAATGACTTGGAACACAATATTTAGTTGCAACTTTGGGAATATGGGCACTTAGTATGTATTTATTAAGGAAATTGGCGCTTGTTTTTCGATCAATTTTGCTCATTTATTGATTTAATTTGAAGATTTGGAGATAACAAAGACAAAAGTACTTAGCACATTTCAATAGTTTTCAATCGATGAGTCAGTTAAAATAACTTACCAAATTGAGATCCAGTCAGCCATTCTTTCATGTCTCATACTTCAATATTTAAAGAATAAAACTAGACGCTAAAAATGTCGATAACTTTATTTACAGACTTTGCATTATCTTATAATACAGTCAACAATTTATTAAACGTTACGATAAGAAATTCACATTCATTTATCTAACGTAAAAACACCTATCCACAATAATGTATCACTAGCTTACCGAATTCGTATCCCCCAGTTTACATGGCACGAACCTAACCTATATTGCACATCGTCACCTAGACCTAGGGCTACACATCCAATATCCATTCAAGAAACGTCCATAGCGCGAGCATGCCGTGTACACCGGGCCTTACACAAATCTAGTGACGAGTCCACTTCGATTCTCACCCGGACGGTAAACAAGCCGAACACAAACTTACAAAATAAACGATAAACTTCCTGTATTCGTCGCAAGTGCGAAAGTTTCGACTAGTATGGACGCCACACGTCCACCGGCCGTCTTTCTGACGTGATGAGAGATTTGCTGCGAGTCCGGACGCCTTGTTCTGACCACTCAGGTGAGGCAGGTCTTTTCTTGCTAGCAGCCGAGGTGGTCGAGCCTTCTTCTTCTCTTTCTGGGCTTGAATGGTTGGAGTCTTCTTGTGGCGGAGGTGGTCTCAGCCACCAATCGTAGCCTCCGTATAGTTGTGAGTACAACCAGGCTGGTGGCGTGGGTAGAAGAGGTGAGTTGAGGAATAGTTGAGCGGCTAAAGCGCTGTGAAAAAGACTCGAGGGTGCTGGCAGCGGCTGCAGCGGCTTTCGTGTTCTGGTAACTGATGTGAATGCTCCAGGACGATCGTCTGGCGGGGGACTGCTTGAAGCCGTCACGGAGATGTCGTCATCCTGTGGCGAACTCGGGCGAGAGTTGGCGGGACTGGTCGTGCTATGAGCGTGCATCGTCGTTGGTGTCTCCGATGTGACATCTGACAAAAAGATAGACGATAAATAACATCTTTCTCTTTACCCGAATAGAATCACTATGTTTCGTCATCAAGTCCTTTGTTGAGCAGTGACCTAGATGATGTCTTGGTGACGTCTACGACAATAAGCTAGTTTCCTAAAATTTTTTTTTTAGTCCGTCATGTTTTAATATCAAAAAATATTGGACACATATATTTTTATTTGTCAATCTAACAAAAAAATACATAGTTATGGTGCGTTGAAGTTCCGCACGCCGTCACAACGTGCGGCACTTTTATGCACGCATTGACGTCACGGGCCTCTTTTCATTAGTTTGAAAAAGTGAAAAATACGTGTAGAGTATTTTTTGATAAGTTAACTGACGGACTAATTAAAACTCTTGCTTTTTGACCCAGGAAACATCCCTATTTCAATTTGCATTAAAACCCTATCTATACCAACGGCTGATGTCAGGTGGATACGATTTCATTTGCATGGTCCTTTGAGGCCTTTTTATTTTCAACCTTATTAGTAGGGAAGACAGACTATAATAACTTAAGAATAGAATAGTCTAGAAGTTCTCACCAGTCTCATGCGGCGGCGGTGGCACGTGCGGCGGCTGCGCGTGCGCCGGTGGTAGCACGTGCGGCGTGAAATGCGCGTGCGACGGGAGGAGGGGCGGCGGGTAGTGGCGGGCCAGCGCGCCCCACTCTCCTCCGGGGAGACCGGCTAGCTGGTGCGCTATGCCTGTGAAGGTGTAATCAGGTAAGTTTGTTTTCAAAGATAAATTCTTCTGCTACTCAAGATCATCATCAGGTCAGTCTCCACTCTAACTACTGTTAGAGGATGACCCTCTTTTGAAGAAGCGAATGGAAGTTACCAATTTTAACATACATATTATCCACGGTCTTTCCCACACGGGTTGGGGAAGCCAGATGTTCGATGATGATGATGATATTCCCTTAATCGCCTCTTACGACATTCACGGATGTTATAGGTATACCTTGCCTTACACAATTTAATGTATTACTTACAGAAAGAGTAGCGTAGTGTAGTTGAGTATTCAATAAGTAGTTTTAAGACTTTTGTCTCAGACGAATACACTGAATATACTGTTTATTTCGAATGAATTCCAGGCTATCCACAAAATCAACAAACTGACAAAATCTCACCGAGACCATAATCCTTAACCTACTTCCATCAGAACTCAATCAGCGAAACAATGGCTCGAGAGTTATCACCGAACGCCCCACTGACGGCGCTTAGCGCTGTCATTAGAATATTTAAATAATGAGAAATACAAAGCAGGGACGTAGCGAAGGGCTGTGGGGCTCGGAACTACAAGAACGAGAGGCCCGTTTACTGAAGTTCTACATGTGGTAAGTGCTAGACTTGTTATTATTAATGCATCTATGTGATTGCTTTTCTTGTTAATTTAAAAAAAGACTGATTAACTAACATTTTATGACTTCAACTCGACTTTCATTATTTGTGCGAAGACCAATACACACGTGGACCACGCCACGTGGCTTAGATTGTGAAAATTATCTGATTATTTGTGTGTGTACCAAAAAGTTAGCCTAATAAATTTTCATTGATAACTCTTCTGAGGTCGTTGGTCTATCGATAACAAATCCCAACTTCGCTAAATAATATGATTTATTAAGTGGGTTCACCACAATAGGCCAGCGGACTTTAGGGTTCTACTCGTAACTAACGGGTATTAACTAATTTGAATTACTTATTTAATTAATTTTAATTTAACGTTTTTCCCAGCGGACGATGGGGTTCTAACTAACGGGGACTAACTTTTGAATTACCTATTTGATTAATTTTAATTTAACGTTTTTCCCACTAAGGGCAGTGCACGACAGCCCCTGTCGGCCTGAATACGGCACTGTTTCGAGCTAGAGCGCCTTATCTCCGCCGCGGCACTCCTCGGTGTTATCTCCGCACCACCGATTCGGAGGTGGGAAAACAATTGTGGATACAGATGGCCCGTTTTCTGTTTATACGTCGGCTGTACCAGTGTTTTCAGAATATTCTTATTACGTGTAAGAATTTTCTAAGAAGCTATCGGAAAATATTATAAAAAGATATATTCGTTTCTTACTAAATGATAAACACTTTTGAAATGTGATCGTATGATGTTTACTCTTTAATAGATGTACCTACTCGTAAAAGATGAATGACTACTATAATTGGAAAATCATCTGACATACGAGTTTATTACGAAACCAAAGGAAAACTCGGTCAAATTGTTGCATTATTTTCTAGAATAGTCCAAAGCAATTGAATTAAACCCATTACAAACTGGAGCAGTATCCCAACCACGACCCAGCAGTGCATCATCTAAGCAAACAATAAAAATACGGTGCTATTATTACAAAACCATTTGCAAAATATATAGGAAATGTGTTTCGGCGTCATAATTTCCAGTTGACATTTTTAAGCGCATAAATTAACGAAGTTTGCCGGCGCCGCGACCCCGTATATTCGGCTTAACCCTTTAGCACCCACCTTGGGTAATTCCCACCCCGGGAGCCCAACCCTTTCAGCAATAGAATAAATTACAGGCCGTTTTATGTCGTAGATACCGTCGCAACGAAAATGTTAAACACATTATTTTGAATCCGACCGCTTAGCCTTTATAGGTGTAGTTCTTTATGAGTTCGGTTCAATTAGAGAATAGCTGCTTTTTAGGATTAGGCGCGGCTTATCCGGCCAAGGATGGCTCAACGATAACGATTTGAGATATTGGATCGCGAGGAGAGGGTTAAGTGTGCATTATTAAGAGTGCCAGTAAAATGAGAGATTTTATGTTTTGAAACTGAGACCGCAGATTGGCCCAGAATCAAAAGACATCTGGAGAAAATGGAATGTAAGATTTAAACATTTGTATTTTTGTTGTTATTTATGTAGACATCTATAAGGTATAGGTACTCGTACTTCTATCTATAGGTTAAATATTACTATTAAAACATCTTAAAACTTATGTAAGTTGGTAGTTCTAGGTCAATTTATGTTATGAACTGAGACAAGAAATATCTTCTTAAATCAAGAATGTCTAGAACTAAAATATGTATAAAGCAGCTTTAATAAAGGCTGAAGTGACTAAGAAACCTCCGATAGATCCGCTCGGCCCCGGGCTGCAATATCCGCGCCGGACGGGAACAAAACAAAGAGACTCCAAGATTACGGACTAAGCCCTTTTTTCTTCACAGAATATAAAACTAATGGACCGGGTAAGTAGTGATAATTCTTGAGAATTAGCCATGGTTTTACATGTAATGGTTAGTACTTAGTAGAGTCTATTAATATTTTCAATTGGAAATACCACTATCAATAAATTTGTAAAAGCCCCAAATTATGAAGCATTTCCCGAAATGGTCACATATTCGATGAAAAATTACGAATTATGATAGTGAAGTAAAATACTAAAACTATAAATTGAAATGGTTTAATAACCATATAAACCATCGAAAAATGTCTTATGAGAAACTAGAGATTTGAAAACAACAGCTAATTTACTTTCAATTTGAAAAATAACCTTCCTTCTGGGCAGTCGCCTAAAAATAGGCTACAATCCTAATCCTGAGGGTTTAGTAAAAAATGACATTAAATGTATGACAGATTGTACAGCGCCCCTAGCGGAAACTTACAAGAACAAAAATGTTCATATATTATTTAACGCGCTCACTACTGAGGACATTTTGATGTTAAACTCATACTAAGGCCACTGAGCTGACTGATTTATACGAGTAGCTTAACCCATTTATTAAAACTCATCATTATTAAAAGATGCTCGAAAGGGCATTTGCGATTCGGTAATATTTGGTGTTTGAAATTAATTTTAATTAGTATTACGATAACTTTGTCATAAAACTGCACTTCATTAATAATATTGACTATTTCAGTAAAGTTTATCGAATATTTTATTTCGCGTTGACATGAAAAATTAAGGGTATCGTTTCATTTCGTATTCCCCGCTGAAAAAGGCAAAAGGAAGGGCAACTCCAGACGATTTGCATTCGTTAAAAATGCTGGAATTCTTTGTGTTGTGTGCACGATGTGTAATCGGCGTACACCGCGACCTATCGATTTGATACATCATCTCAAGAAAATTCATGAAAATATAGCTTTTTGTACGAACAAACACAAAAATTAAATAAAACAGACGGGTTTTGTTACGCATATTTATTCCTAATGATAAATAAATAAAGGAACATATATTTAGGTTATATTTGTAAAAAAAAACATTATTGTTTAATAACTAAAGCTACACATTTACATAATACTTGTTAAAAAATGTAATAACAAGAGTGGTAGGTATATCAAGCCATTAAAGGCTTGGCGCTCAAACTAACTTCAATCTAACAAAAAATATTCAAACCCCTATAATTCCGTAAAGAAAAAACAAAACAAACCGTAAAACAAATCTTGGATTTCCATTAAAGTACCAAGATTGCTCGCCGGCGTACAGTACCGGATTGGCCGCATCCGAAGACGTGCCAGTCCGCTACATTGCCCCCGACGAAAGAAAGGGGTTTTTCTCGACTTTGAAAAATCGCGTGCCGCGAGAGGGTTCAACCCGAACATTTTAATGCCATTTGCTAGATTGCGCCTTGCATTTTTCCGCTACTACAGCGCTAATCTGCGAAGACACCCGGATTACAAGGATAAAAGTATTTACGTTTTAGTGTGATTCCGATAGGACGGAATTTTTAACGAGTAGCCAGCCCTTCGTGGCGATTAGGAAAGGGTTGGGAGCACTTTCAAGTAATTATTTTACATTTCTCCGAACATCAATCTGAGTGGTGCTTAGCAATTTCCCCAGGCTTTTGTCTCGGCTCTCTAGACTGAGAATTCGCTTTTATGAGCCCTTCTGAAGTTACTATTGCTATGAAGCAATTATTTAGATATGTATAGCATCAGTTCTTTTTAGCCATAGGCTAATTATTGTCTATCCCTACTTATTTGAATTTTCAGCTAAGAGTGGATAAATGGATGTGTGCTATTAAAGTGATTGTTGTTATAAAATAAGTAAAGGTCTAGAGATGTAAGTACCCTTAGCCTTTGAGTTCACGTCGCATACGTAGTCGCACAAATCGTATAGAAATCCATTTAATGTAACTATTTTGTATGCGAGTTAGAATTCCAACGTACCATACCTAGACTCCTTACTCATAAATTCTAAACATGATCACAATTATCCTGCTTTCGCCTCCGAGATTTATTTTACCATGTAGTACCCCTGTACGACAACCCAATCCGCACACAATATTCAGCGTAGTAGTATTAAAAAACAAAAGAGCGGGCAACCCCACCCCTACCACGCTGTGGGCTCGGTGTCCGAGCGGTCTCATTCCTTTGTGCGCACGCGCAACGACCGCACGCAGTATAAGAAAAATGCTTAAGTGACGTCACCAGGACGTTTTTACCGACAAAAAACGTAATTATTTTAAGTTGTGCAGTGTAGTGACGAGAATTAGACCCAACAGCCCTGTAAGTGCTTATTCACTCTCGCCTTGAAGAGGCCCGGATTACAGTTTTCGGGAAAGACAGCAGCAGGCAACGAATTCCAGTCCCTAGCTGTTCGCATTATAAAAGAGTCATCGAAACGCTTAGTGCGAGCTGGTAGAATGTCAACAATATAGGGATGGTACGCTAACCTGCGTCTGGTTCCCCGATGATGGAAGGGGGCTGGTGGAATTAATTCGTGTAATTCTTTCGCACATTCTCCGAAG